TCAATCGTTATTCTACTTTTATTTCTTGCATATTATTATCATTATTTAATTTTTATATTTAACCCTATGATTTTATACGGATCTAAATGAGCGCAGTTACCTAATAAGAGATATGTATATCTATTGGAGTGAAGTTTAAAAAAATCGAAAGAAAAACTGCATTAACACCTATAAAAGAAGACGAAAAAAAAGTAAACATAAGGCAGAAAATGACTTGTGATAAAATATAATTTCAAGAAAAAAAGACCACAAACGATTGTCTGCAGTAGAACGTCTATGAAAATTCGGCATAGCATCACTTATCTCCCACATTTTTAAACATATTAAGTTTAAATATTCATAACATAGATCATCAAGTGAGCGTTCATCATAAGTAAATGGGGAAAACTTACTTAGTTTTCATAGAATATATTCTGGTATTAAGGTTTTTTTATAAATTATTTCTCTTATCAATCAGAAAATATGAAAACATCTTAATATTTGATTTAACGTTGACTGATCTTTATTTTCGCTCGATTAAAGTTCTTCTGAAGTTTTTTATTGTACGTCTATGCATGTCAAACAGAAATCAGGATAAATTTATTACATAGAAGAATGAACTAATTTTATTTTGATCATATGTCGATCTAAGGTACGGTAAATATGGTGATAAGTTCAATATTACATTCAATTGGCGTAATGCGCACATCAATCAGTGTGATTAGACCTTACTAATATTCTGTTGCGGTATAACATAGTGATAGACATTCACCACGTTAATCACTAATAGATTTGATCATGAGTAGAAATGATTTGTTTATAATTTTTTCATTCATATAAATCGTGATTGATAAATCATTTATCAATGAACTAAGATTTAATGATTTTTCTTGAATAAATACATGAAAGTTGAAAGATAAGTGTAAAATGTTATATAGATTAATTTATTAAAATAAAAATTTTCCTTTTATAGACAGTTTATTGGCAGCATGTTTAGCAAGATAATAATCTGAATGCTAAAAATAAGAAATCATGCAGAAAATAACTGATAGAAAATACCTTAAACAAATATAGTTTTGTTTGTGATTTATTTTTCTTTGCAAAAGACAACTAGATACTTATTTATATATTTTACATATATGCAATGCAATAAAATGTCAAAAACTGAGCGTATCGATCATATCCAGATATTCTTCTTCTCCTCATACACAACGATATGCACATCCTATCGATAGAAAATTCTTGTATTTGTTAGTGTAAAACATAGATTATGATATAAAAGTATTAATATTAAGATCGAACTTTCATTTCTTTGTAACACAACCAGATTATTAAATTCACGATTGCTTTGAAAACCGAATATTTTTTTTTAGTGTTTAAAATGAATCTATGTAACAAAAGGTCGATATAAAAAGTACTGTGAATCGAAGTAAGCATTTTCGATGAAAAGCAATCATCGAAATTGAAAGACTTATGATAATGAAAAATAAGATCGAGAACAAACAAAGAATGTTTTAAAGTCATTTGAAAAGAAATTTATGAGAAGTAAATGAAAGAGAAATGAGACGATGAAGTTATTACAATACTATTCAGTCAGTCCATAAATGACGCACTGATTTGTTTTTCACCTTCGGATTGTTATAATTTATTAAGTTTATGTGATAAAGATCTGAAACTTATACTGCAGTAAGATGTATTAAAGTTCTAATGTTACTTGGAACTTTGTTTCTATAAAGAGTTATTGTCAAAACATGACGACTAATTCTTAACTTGTAGTTCATTCCTCGGTCGGGTTTAGGACAGTTGCTCGCCAGACAATTGCTCGCCGGACAGTTGCGCGCGGACACTTGCTCGTTTGGACACTTGCTCGCTATAACAGTTACATAGGATCCTATAGCGAGCAACTGTCCTAGTGAGCAAGTGTCGGCGCGCAACTGTCCGGCGAGCAACTGTCCCGCGAGCAACTGTCCGGATCCCTCCTCGGTCATACTATTATTATTTAAATTTTTTCAAATGATAATATAGTCTTCAAAATATGATTATAGACAATAAGACCCTATTTCTACTGTTTTTTCACCACAAAAAAAAGCTTGGTTTTCGCTGACAACTATCATTTATTCTTGTCATTATTCAAAATAAATGACATCAATCGATAGAGAATATACAAAAACCTGTAAAAAATTTTTGAATGAACACCTTCAGTTGCCTTATGCTCAAGAAACCTTCTAGTCAATTTTGACCAAACATGATCCATTTTAGCTGAACAGGCTGCACTTATGTATAACTCTGCTTTGCTGAAGAAAAGATCATTAGTCATATGAGATTACTACGCATTGTTTATCTTTTCTACATACAGAATGATCTTTTAGGAAGTATCAATGTGCTAGTTTTATGACGGAATTTCATGAATGTCATCCACCGTCAAGTTTGACTGCATTTTTTGACGTCAAGAATTTAAAAAGCGTGATATTTTTTATCTATCTTTCATTTTAATATGCAAGCAGAACTTTTGAACTTTCAAGAAGGTCTATTATCATGTGAGGAAATAAGTTTTATTTATAATCAAATCAAATACGATATTGCCAAATAAGCACTGCATCATGTAAAATTTAATAAAATTAGTTGTAATGGTTTTAATTGATATTTGAGAAACATAATTAAATGAAAATATGTTTAATGAATCGTTAAGAAGGTCATTCGCCGACAATGTTATCATCGTCATCATCATCCAATGGATTACTTTGTAGTTCAATATTCATCATATATTGATTGATTCTTTTGATTTCAGTAGACTTCTTTCTATGCTCCTTCATTTCACATCGTTGGTACATTATTTTGGACCACATAAAATGATTGTAAGCACTATTAAGCTGTTCATGATTAGCTAGACGTTCTCCTTCGGTAAACAAATATTGCCCAATATTCAATAGCAGGCGAGCCAGTAAATTATCTTCATGATCAAACATTAAAACATGATTTATATATTGAAGTGCCCAAGTATTAATTGGTGGTTCAGCACCTGAAACTTGTATCATATTCATATTGGTAGAAAAAATATAGATCCAATGTTCTATTGCAAAGATCTCTGGAAAACTTTCGACAAGGCGTAGTATAATAATCCTTCCTTGTAAATCTGAGGTAATAAAAAAGATACGTTTATTACGATTGCGCGGAAACGAACGATTGAAACATGTGTTCAACTTCATCAAGTCGTACAAGAATACTTTTTTTCTAAGCGAACATTTAAATCAATATCATCCGTATTAAGTAGCCTTTCAAACAAGCCAGAAGTTGGATCTGTCGCCAGAAAAAAGGAATATTTTAATAAAATACACTCATCAGGCTTTCCAATATGTTCATCCAACTAAATGATAAGTTAATTGGGAGCAAAATCTCTGTCTCTATTGGCAACATTTGCTATATACAGGTCAGATTGTGCCATTACTGATCTAGAATGAATATAATGTCACATAGCAGTATTTTATGCTTGCTATCTAGTCAATTTACTGAATTCTTTCCACTAGCATGTATTTACTATAAAGAAGAGTAAGTCACTTAACACTTTCTGTTATTTGACAGAAGATAGACATCTATATAGCAAAGAAATTTGCATACTTCTGATAGATTATTATTTATTTATTTATATGTTATAAGAATGGCTCTCGAAAACTAACAGAAACCATCTTTTAATAGCTATGTATTGCTAAATTGCTTCAATCTGAAAACTTAGCTGAATCTTAACAATGAATTGTACTAGAAAAATAGTCTAGCATGACACTTATGAAAAGATCCAGCATAATGAAAAAAAAGTAAAAATGATACTTAGCAGGATATTTGAATATCGGGACACAAGTTTAAAAAACTCAGGTCAAATCAGCACGATCGTAAATAACCATTTTTTCAGATCGTTTGATAGTCGTTATCAACTGTGCATGGTACGATAAAATGCAGTCGAAATACTACAGATACCAAACTTTAATTTACTATTGTTTATAGCAGCAAAACTCCATGAAGCGTCATTATAGAGTACTGATTTTGATCGTCTTGACGACTATAATTATCATCCGAGGAACCTTTTACTACATAAACAATATTCATACATACAAATTTCAAATATGTTATGACAGGGAATGCTACGATTAAGATAGTAAATGCTGCCGGTAACGATATACATATAAACCCATCTTTCTTTCCAACAATATTGCATGACAGAGAACCTATGATGCATTCAATATTAATTGAAAATAGTAGATTAAATTCATCGAGAATTCCATTACTGGGATAAGTTACAGATAAGGAATATTTTCAAGTTGAAATATCAAGTAACTGTTTCAATGTACCATTCGGTATGACATTTGCTAAGTTTCTGTCAAAACATGAAAATCAACAATATACTTTTCACTGAATTAATTGATTCATATCTTTCTTTACATATCTATCCATATAGTACTATTTGTTCATTGGATTAGCTTTTATTCTTCACTTAAATATAGACATATAGTTACACATTTTGGAATCTTATTTTCGTTCATCTGTTTTATATCTCTCATACAAGTGTCTGTATATGTGTATGTTTTAAACATGATCTTTTCTTTTTTCGTTTACTCATATATGATGATTGAAGAATGGCAAGAACAAAAATCAATAATTATTATTTCATCATATGGAATAATATGAAGAAATCATCATAATTATGGAATTTAAACAGAATAATTCAATTTCGACAAAAATTCAAATAGTTTGATTAGTTATCCATCTATTTTACTCATTTTTGCTAAGTTCAAAATTTAAAATATATTAATACAACAATGCATAAGGTCTGTAGAATATATAATAAACATTTTATGTTATAAAAACTGAAAATTTTCTCTAATCAAACTATGCGCATGTGTGAAGACTTTTCTTTTAATTTATCTTTATTTTTTTCTTATCCATAACGTTGTATTATTAGAAACTCATACTCTTCAGTAGTATATAACATGAAGAAAATGTAAAACTATCAATGCGTTTAGATTACTTAGGATATGTTTACAAACTAAGTAACAAATTTCTACATCTCTTTGTTTGTTATTTGAAATCAATTCAATAATGTTTCACGTAGAGTAAGAGACGAGGTGTAAATCAAAGTACTGACCTAAAAAATCGACGATTGCTGGTACTGATTCTAAATCTAATCCATAACGATTTCCGCATAAGAATACATAGTGCTACACTCACCTGCACTCCAAATTGACATCGACACAACATCAACAATCAGTATTGAAAATCAGCTTGTTTTCTACTATATTGTAGAGAAAATATTTTAGTGAAATAGAAAAATAATAGAGAAACTATCCGAAGAGTTCCACTTTGTCATTTTTATGCTTTCTTAAACATCATAGGAGAACGCGATTTTTTTTTTCATTAAAGTTCAAATTGAGTCTGAAGATTTGTACAGTATTCGAGAGAATACTTTTTTCAATCATACATCTTTTTAACTTGCGCTCGACATCTCCTATGCTAAATTATTTAGTAAATAAAGTTTTACAAGTTTCTGTCTTAGTAAATGCGAACAATTATTTTTGTTGAATTTCTAAAAAACGAAGATTCTTGAATTTTTGTCTCTAGCTCTGTGCCTCATCGAAAATTCGTTGAAAAGCAAAATCTTCTTTTTTTTTGACTGGCATGTTTATTTCAAGAGAGGAAAACAATGTTAGTAATGAACGAAAGAAAAGACGTTAGATAAACTGTTAAAATCATGTCAAATAGTGCAAAGTTCTCAATAAATATTATATTGCTTTGTATGCAATCAACTTTCATTTTGATTCATTATCAAAATAGATTAAATAGGGAACTGAAAACGACAATAGCCACGAAAACATAACGATGCTGTTGAGTCATACGAACAGCCAAGCTTTTTGATAATGTGGTATTCGTTGTGATTGCAGCACCGGTCGTTGTCCCGACTATGGCTGTTGTGCCGGCAGTGGTAATTGATCCTACGGTCGTAGTTGAGCCGACAGCTGTCGTTGTAGTACATAGTGGAAGCACATTAGCAGCAAATTGACCCAACCAATTTCCTGCTGGATAATAATTAGCTACAACATATGCTGTCTGATTATCGCTCGTCAATGCAATTCCTATGCCTAAATCTGTAGAACCACTCCATATGACTTGAGTAAAATGGCCCGTGCCTGAAGAAAAACCAGGCGAGCTGTAATTGTACAAGGAGATTTCATTGTACCATGCAGTTGTGGGAATTGAACCTAATAGAGAAAACACAATGATCTTGTTGACTATCGGATAAAAGGTTTTTACCGTTCATAAAATTGATTCCTGCCGATGAGTACGAATAATAAAGATTCTCACCAAGTCCTGGTGTTCTACTGTGATTAAAAATGTTATTGGCTGCAAGATACTGCGCATAATTTTGTGCAATTGTGTTCAGAGATGTGTTGAGTGTCATCAGGCCGGTACAATGCAGTTGTTGACGATAATAATTATGCTGCTCTAAAGCCTGTTGCTGGAAATCAATGAGAACGATATCAGTCAATACTGAACAAATCAAATTAGACACCAGAATCAATATAAGTGATAGGATTTGCATGATTGTTATTCTATAACAGATATTAACAAATTCCTAACTCATTAGAACCAATGATTGAAATTACGGTAGACTTTGACATGAATCATATCCTTATCTAGGTTGATATTCTATTCTAATTCATTGTTCTCTTTAAATGTTGCGCATTTTCTACGGTGCTCACAGATTTCCGTTATGAATACTATCTTCTTGCTAAATAAGCATCAAACACATTTTGATAGAATCGATTCAGACACGAATATCATAATTCTGTGGCTACCAGTATTCATTGATGGAGAAAATATCGGACTAATTAAGATGTTTCTCGGAAAAAAAATGATTCTAGCATGAATATCGAGAAAGTAAAACTTTTCTCATTTTTTTTACTATCGTCAAACGTTTGTATGCGAACGAAATGTTCGATTGTTTTTTTAAAGTTAACACAAAAGAAAAGTACGAAACCATTGTAAAAAAAAACGTATATATCACAGCCATTACATTCATCTATATTTTCTCTTCGAAATCACAATACACTTACTCAATTTTCACACAAAAACTATTTTTTTCTGCCATTTAGATATGCACTCAGCTCAAAACTTTATTAGTACTTATTCTGTTTACTTCAGAAGAAGGCAAAAATCATATTTTCAAACTTTGATAATGAACTGAATCAAAAACTAAAACATGTACAAAGCCGGCGAGGTTTATTTATGACTGTTTTGCATATCTGCCTTCATTAAAACACATAGGAATCAATGCACGAAAAAAACATAACTTATATGTATTCCGTAAGAGAGAAATTATTTATTTGTAAGCAAATAATTTGATCCAATATGCAATAATTTATTTGTACAATCATAGAATTAAAGTAAACACATAATATTGAAGTATTTCTTCATAAAGAAAATAAAATTGACTTGATTAATCAAATAAGTCAAGGGGCGTCTAAGATCATCTCTTTATGTATTCAATCATACTAGTGACTGACTTTTTGTCCAAAACAAATTTCATTCATGCCAACCAATGATTTAATACCTTAATAAGATTGTTATTTATCGACATTAGACCTGTACTAATACAAAGCAGTCGACAAATGAACTAAAGATTACCGAAAACTTAAAATTTGAGCGAGGCCTTTTCAAATAAGGATGATTTCAATTGTATGTTAGTTTGTCAAATTGTAGAAGGATGTTCTGGAAGCTTTTATCGATTGCTAGTCATTGAAGGTCTCCATTTCAAGTCTCTTTAACATCTAACAATCCATTCTGTATTTCCATGCCGTACCCCTATCTATGATCGTTCATGACCGATTAGAATAAGAAAACAGGGCTGTTACTCATCGGATGTTCAGTATAATATCAAAATGTCATCATTGTATCAAAATTTTAGAAACTGATGCATCCGTAGAGTTATTACAAGAATGCTTTGGCACAATCTTTATATAGTTTGTTTTTCTTCATCATAAATTTGTTTCTCATA